CCCCCTCCCCCCCCATTGATTTTTAGGAAGAGTGGAAGAGAGAGATAGAAAACATCGATGTGAGAGAAACACATCGATTGGCTGCCTCCTGCATGAGCCCTGAACAGGGCTCAGGCTAGGGAGGAGCCTGCAACCAAGCAAGGTATGTGCCCTTGACCAGAATCAAACCCGGACCCTTTGGTCCACAGGCCAATGCTCTAACCACTGAGCCAAACCAGCTAGGGTTGTTTGCTCTTAATCTATTATATCATAAGCTTTTTCTCCATGTCATTACCATATGAGATTTAATGGCCATACAGAATTCTCTTTGGAGGGATCATGATGAAAAGTATCATTAAGGCAAGTATAATACATTTTAAGATACATGCATATTATATATTTAAGTCTGTTAATTTACCTATTTGGTTGTAAATGTTTACAAAAGAAAACCAAAAATCTCCAGCAGGTCTTTAAGGTTTTCAAAGGTAGCTTATTATGTACCAAGCTTTTGGAAATCAGGATGCTATTCAACTGTCCCACCATGCCTAGCACATAAAAAATGATTTCTAATGGACAAAATCATCTGAGTTCATGAACTTACATTCTTGAATAAAAATAGGTATACGTAGGTGCATATTTATGATATATGATGGCACCTGAAATTTAATAAATATTCAGTAATAGAGGCTTTAAAAATTTTTTTAATATATTAAACCAGGTCTACTAAATCCAAGTAAGAAAGCTGAGGTTTGAAAACTCAGCAAGATTAGGATTGCCAATTATAAAATTACTAGAGGCCCAGTGCACAAAATTCATGCACTGAGGGGAGCTGGTCCCTCAGCCCGGCCTGCACCCTCTCGTAGTCTGGGGAGCTCTAGGGGATGTCCAACTGATGGCTTAGGGGGAGTGGGCATAAGCCGACAGTGCGACATCAGAGAGGCTCCTGTCACTGCTGCTATGCTCGTCAGCTATGAGCCTAGCTTCTGGCTGAGCAGCACTTCCCTTGTGGGAGCACACTCACCACCAAGGGCCAACTCCTGCCTTGAGTGTCTGCCCCCTGGTGTTCAGTGCGTGCCATAGCGACTGGTCGTTCCGTTGCTTTGCACATTAGCCTTTTATTATATAGGCTTTATTAAAAACCATTCATAAAATTCCTAACATATATGAATAACAAAACCAGATTATTGATAAATCTTTTGAATGTTCACACTCCCATTTCATTAGTGATAACCGATGCCCTCTACCTACTATGCGCAAAGTTAGTTTTACAGCATGAGCCCATTGACATCTGCAAAAGCCTCACATCAACAAGGAAAAGAAGAGACGAATAATCAAGGTAGTAAAGCTGGTTGCATTTTAAGATACATTTTCCTGATTAATTAGTATCACATCAAAGATCAATAGTCCAGGATTCTGATTCTAATCCTGTCGATGAAGAATGATTGGAAAACTGAATGCTCCAGTTAACCAAACATTCTGCTTTATTAAATATATATATACATTTATCCATATTATGCAGATCCCTAGGCATTCATATGAATTATTATTTAAGTGCTAAAGATATAGTTGATTAGAAGACTGTACTAACTTTTCATAAGCCACAAGATATTTTTTTTCTTTTCCTTTTTTTTCTTGGGGTGGGGGTCAATCCTCACCTGAGGATATTTTTCCATTGATTTTTAGGAGGAGTGGAAGAGAGGAAAGACAGAAACATCAATGTGTTTGGTTGCCTCCTACATGTGCCCCAACCAGGACCCAGGCCAGGCAAGAGCCTGCAACCAAGGTATGTGCCCTTGACTGGAATCAAACCCAGGATCTTTTGGTCCCTAGCCACTGAGCCCAACCGGCTAGGGCACAAGATATATTTTAGAAATGGCTTGCAGAAAAAAATTCTTGACACGTTTTTTTTTATGAAACAAATAAAAAAAGTGAAGAGAAATAGTTTCAGCTATTTAAGCTTCCTAGTTGCCTAGACTATGATGGAAAAATGATGAAAAGGCAGATTGGAAACATTGTTTTATTTTATCCTTTATTATAAAGCAGTGGCTCTCATAGTATAATCTCTGGATGGCATCGCTTGATCATCAGCATTACCTCGAACTTGTTAGAAATGCAAATTCTGAAATTCGGGGGCCTCACCTCAGACCTACTGAATCAGAAAACCTGGGGATGAGGCCCAGCAATCTGTGTTTTAATAGGCCTGACTGGTGGTTCTGATGCCTGCTTATATTTGAGAACCACTGTTAGAGCTAAAGAGATAAAGTATTCAAATTTGTGCCTTGAGAATCCCCATTACCGCCAACAGAATGAAACATGCTTTGCCTTCCTCCACATTTGTGCCCCTCCCGGCTTTGTCTTATAATTACGAAATGTTTAAGATATCCTTGTCCGAGGAGTTACTTCAGAACTGAAACAGAACACAAAAAGTTCTGCCAGGTGGGGGGAAAATTGCAACAAGTTCCCTTCTTGCTACTGTTTACAACCTGTTCTTAAAGGCTGTAAGTTTAGAATAGGCGCTTTCACCATGTATTCTGCAGTTCCCTTGAGAGAAAGAAGAGTCTTCTGTCACAAAATAGACCATAAAACAAGAGCTCTGCCAACATCAACATCAACAGCACATAGATTTTCCCCACCTGAAGATGACAGCTAACACAAAGTGGAAGACTAAAGTGGAAGACTGCACTTGGTTCCTGGCTTCCAAAATTCTTTACTGCCTCTTCTTTTTCCTATATCTATAGTAGATATAATGCAAACATTACTTTTCTGTTATGCTATATATTTTTGGTGTTTTTTGTTTTTTGTTCATCTTCGTCTGAGGATATTTCCCATTGATTTTTAAAGAGAGTGGAAGGAAGACAGAAACATCAATGTGAGAGACACATTGATGTTTTTTATTGATTGGTTGCCTCCTACATACGGAGGGGCCATGGATGGAGCCTGCAACCAAAGTACATGCCCGTGACCAGAATCGAACCCAGGACCCTTCAGCCCACCTATGCTCTAGCCAGCTAGGGCTGTTAAGCTATTTGACAACGTTATGGCAACTTGTATCATCTGAACTGACTTAACTACAATGTAACATGGTGACTATAGTATATATACTATACACAGGTGATAGGCTTTGGCAAGTGTACATACACACATAGAATGCCCTGGAAGCTTGAGCTCTTAACACTGACTACCATTGGCCTGGCTTGTGTTTTTAATGCCCTACTTATGTATAAGGCTGCTGTTTTTGGAATGAAATCCTGATGCACAATAATGATGTGGTTTGTGTCAGTTACTTGCTTTCATTCCTGGTCCATCCTTCCCAAATATAGCAGGTGTATCTCAGTGGAAAGAGTATCAGAAGACTGTGGGACCTTGGAAAAGTCACTTAACTTCTTGGCCTCCATTGATTCAGCTGTAAAAAATGAGACACCACCTAATTCCCAAAGCTGTTGTATTAAGTGAGATACAAAAATTTTAAAATATTTTGTACATTATAAACCTATATTTATCCATTCACTACCCCATATTTATTGAGCAGCCATTATATAGAAGGCATTCTTCTAGGCTCTGAGAATAAAGGTGTGAACAAGAAAGCATAAACCCTTTCCCCAAAGGAACTTACATTCTAGTGGGAAGGTCAGATTTATTAACACAAAGGATATTATCCTACCATGTAAGATATTTTTTAGGATTCAGATTCCCCATGGCCCTCTTTAATATTAAGATCTATGATAAAGATACCTTTTTAACTGTAAAAACAACATTATTAAATGAAGGTCAATTAGATTTTTCTGACTTGATTAATAACTGAGGCTTCCCCAGTTGTAACCAGCTCCTCAAGTGAAATAATCATTACCTCTGGAGGCAGAAATTACACTAACCTAGAGAAGATAAAAAAAAAAAAACACATTAATTTTTGTGATGAGTTCAAAGTATCACACTGAATACCATGTTGGACAATTAAGGATAAAAGGGGATAATCCTATTTTTCTGTATCTGTTATAGTAATTTCTGGACCTGAATTGGCTGATTTTGATCTGATAATTTCCCAAAATATCTCATCCTTTCTAATAAAAAATTCACTGTGAGACAAGTGTGAAAAAAAAAAAAAGCCTCTCAGTAGATCAAAGGAATGATTAGTCTAAGACAGATTTGGGGGTTCTGAAATACGGGGTTCCTAGTAGCCCTGTTTTTTAAAAAATGCGTTGGAACCATACTGCAGTCTCCAGTCTCCATCACATGTGAAGAGCTTTCAAAGAGGCCTGTTCAGAATGCGCACTAGGTTTTAGAAAAAGGGGGAGGGGCAAACACACACACATAAACGCACACCTAAAATCTCACCCAATGCTAAATGTTAATCGTTCTGATCATAATTAAGGTGAAAGGAGGGCAACCCATTTTTATGGTAGATATATCCTTTTCTTTGTTTGCTTCCACACATATTATACGCAGATCCACAAGCAAGGCAGACCAGACCCTGCAGCTGAGACACCTCATACAAACCGCCTTCCCAGGAGGAGACAGTAAAACCCAGGTGGGGGGGCTGTTGTTTTATTTAATGGGGACGGAAAAACAGTGGTCAGGGGATTAGGATTATAACCGCAGCGCCCCCACCCCCGCGGACCCTAGAAACCGCGACTGTAGGATGTTCTCTGCGGATACCGCATCCTTGGAAGATCCTACGCAGGTCCGAGGTTCTGCTATTTGTCATTTCCCATGCCCTCCAGAATCATCACCACAATGTTCACCTCTATAATGGTGATGATTCCTCTTCCAAGCACACCTCTATCTCCATTCCTGGTCTTGAAGGGGTTTCTCCCGCGACCCCTCACACCCTTCTAGCCGTTATGTCATCATCCCCTGCCACCTCACTCGGCAAACCCCCTCCCCAAGACAACAGTGTCCTCCGGCATTTCCAAATCTCCAGTCCCTAAACCCTCGTCTGTATGTATCCTGCCCCAGTCCCTGTCCCAATCCCCATCCCGATGCCCTACCCCTGTTCCTTAACCGGCCCCGCGCACCTTCCTCACCTGCAGCCCAGGAAAACGTGGTTGGTCCAGGCGGCGGAGAGCGCTAGGAGCTGGTCGAGGGCAGCCCCGGGATAGCTGTGCAGGTGCCGGCAGATGAAGCTGCGTCGCAGAGCCCACTGCCAGTCACTTTCGTGGCTATAGCGCCACTGCTCCAGCACTGGCTCAGGCGGGGGCGGCGGGAGGGGCGGCAGCGGCGGCGGCGGGAGGGGGAGCAAAGGCGGAGGCGACAGGAAGTCGCCCCCCAACAGCAGACGTCCTCCAGCCATCTTCTCCGCCCCCAGGCAGGGCCACCGGGGAAGAAGCCAACTATGGAGCTGGAGCGAGTTGGATCGGGGGGCCGGTGGGAGGGACCGGGTGAGGAGGGGCGCGCCGTGGCGCGAAGACCAACTCTCGGGGGACTAGGGTGTGTGCACGGAGGGCGAATACTAAAGAGGAAAAGGCGCTCGGGTCCCGATGCCAGGGCGCGCGCCGGCTGCACTCCAACTCGTGGAGAAGCCAGGAGGGTGCCCACTGCAGTCTACGCGTATCGGGAAGCCGAGCCAGGCCCCGCGCTCCGCACTTCCAGCCACCCGCAGACCCACGCTCAGCGCGGGGAGGGGGGGAGACACCAGCACGCTCTGCTCCCCCTCCTCTGAGTTCCTGCCTACCTCCCCGCGTGCAGCCCAGCGGTAGCGAGCCAGTGCGCATGCGCTGCGGGCGATCCCTAACTTTCAAATCTCGTGGCCAAATATCGCGTGATGTACATTTCCCCCTTCTGTGACGACTACGGGCCTTTGACGCACTCCTGTGACTAGCGGAAGGAGGGGACTCTGGGAAGGAAATTTTGGGAGGTTCTCCGAGGTTCTGGAACATGTTTCCATTGAATTCCTGGAAGACGACCTCAGGTGATTGTTGGCTGCAATGACTCATCTGACACTTTCCCCTGTGTTTCTGAGCAGCATGACAAATGCGGTGTTTTTTGGGAGGGACTTGGGTTTGTGATGGATTTTACACTTTTTTTTTAATGTCAGCTCTCCTTTTCTTTAGAGGATAGCTTGAAAAGCTATGTTAGCTTTGCATTTTATTGTGAGAACAAAGGAGAGATTAAATACTTGCAAAGAAAATCATCCACAATGCCACTTCTCATACATATTCCATTCCAGTTGCTGACAAATAGACACCGTGCTTACACAGTTCTGATCATGATTGCAAATAATTTTGCATTTTCTGTACCAATTTAAAATGTGAAAAATATCACAAAATACAAAAGGGCCCTCAAAAGAGGCTTAAGAGCTGCACAGCAAAGAATGGCAAAATCACTGTATAGCTGAACACAACGCTCTAGCAGTGCTCCAGTCAGTTCCCTCAATCCCTGTCTGCCAACCTGTGATATATAAATAGTTCATCAATGAGTATCTGTCAACAGGAATTTACACAGCACTTGTGTGCTCAATACAGGATGGGACAAAGTAGGCTTACAGTTGTTTGTATGGAAAAGAATACAATAATAATAAACTGTGTTTCAAGTACTCACAACAGTAAGCCTACTTTTGCCCCATCCCGTACAGTAATAAAAGGAAAAAGAAACTGGGTTTTCTGTCATCCTAGAACTCATTACAATCTTGGTGGGGAAAAATAGTCCTGTATGAAACTCAATGTCCCAGTGGCAGCAGGTCCATTAGATGAGGTAGCTTTGACCCACTGCCCTGTTTCACATTTTAATGACACATTTTCATTATATGACATATTGTATGTGTAAGGTGTTATTGGATTGAGAAGAGCAGCAGATAACATCACTTTTCATACCATTTCATAATTATTTATTTCTGTGTTTGTCTTGCCTATTTCCTAGTGAGTATTATGTCTTTGACTCTATGGCAGGCATTCATGTTGACTGAAATAAAGACATTCTTTGAACCACAAGATCAAAAGATGATATGAGCCGAAACCGGTTTGGCTCAATGGATGGAGCGTCAGCTTGGGGACTGAAGGGTCCCGGGTTCGATTCCGGTCAAGGGCATGTACCTTGGTTGCGGGCATATCCCCAGTGGGGGATGTGCAAGAGGCAGCTGATCAATGACTCTCTCATCAATGTTTCTAACTCTCTCTCTCTCTCCCTTCCTCTCTGTACAAAATCAATGAAATATATTTTTTAAAAAAAGATGATATGAAGTAGGAAGCTTAGAGATCATAAAGTCATTGCTGTATGAGTGAAAAAATTAAGGCTGGAGAGGTGAATGACTTGTTGAAGACTGTAGAGGCCATAGCAAAGCTGAGATCATAATCTGGATCACTTGACTCCTCATCCAGTGCTTCTCCAGCCATTTGCCATTGCATTACCCTGTTGTTGTTTTTAAACATTTTTCTTCACAGCATGTATCATCTTTTTAACTCTTTAAAAAAGTTTGGTGAACAAAAAGATAGATACAGAGACAGTAAAGCAACAAACAGACTGTCAAATTACAGCAGGGAGGGGAGGGAGATCTGGGGGAGATAAGAGATCAACCCAAGGGCTTGTATGCATGCATATAAGCAAAACCAATGGACAAAAACTCTGAGGATGGAGAGCATGTATAGGAGTGGGGGGGGCAATGGTAACATATGTACACATATAATACCTTAATTAAAAAAAAGAAGAAAAAAGTTTGACTGCCCCCTGCCCAGTGTCAGCTCCATGAGAACAAGGAACTCACCTGCCTTGCTTTTTGCACCTATGCCTGACTACTGTGGGTACTCAACAGATATTTCTTGAGTTGAATGAATGAAATGAATAAATGAATGAGTTAGTGAGTGAGTAAAGGCTCTTTCCATTGTCCCGATCTTGTGAAATTCATTTTCTTGGAATCTATATTTTAAGCTGATTTATTTTACAGTTGGATTAATTTCAGCGTAAGCTGCCAACCTTCAGCAGCAGCAGCATTGTCATCAAAAACACATTGTTCCTAGAAAAAGATTTGAGAAAATAAAAGCTACATCCTCTTGGCTTTGATGAAAACATGTTCATCAGGTAGGAACATATAATTGCAATCTGACTTTTGAACTTGGATTACAAAATGAAAGGCAATGAAACTGATGTTAGAGACAGGCTATTTACTTTACAACAGCCATAACTGGACTCCATTTGAAATTTCCACTGTGGAATATAGTTTCATCTCTAGAAAGCAAAACAAAAATTTGCATGATTATCCATGACCTTTCAATAGTAATCCTTCTGATCAAAAAAATCCTTCAGCCAGCTTATCTCAACCCATTCCTTTTTTTTCAAGCCACATATTTCTCTGTGATCAGGAATTGAAACCCTAAGCTAAAGTAGATTATCTGAAAATGATTAAAGATAGGTATAGAAAGGAATGGTGATAAAAGCATCCATTGCAATCCTAAAACAATCCAGAAATCGGTAGTCATCCATCCTACACACACATACACACACTGACAGCTCTGAGCTTCTCTCCATGCCCTATCCCAGTGGTCGGCAAACCGCAGCTCGTGAGCCACATGCAGCTCTTTGGCCCCTTGAGTGTGGCTCTGCCACAAAATACCACGTGTGGGCGCACACGTACAGTGCGATTGAAACTTCGTGGCCCATGTGTAGAAGTCGGTTTTCGGCCTGGGCGAGCCTATTTTGAAGAAGTGGCGTTAGAACACTCAAGGGGCCAAAGAGCTGCATGTTGCTCATGAGCCACAGTTTGCTGGCCACTGCCCTATCGTATGGGGGATTCAGTGAGTGATCATAGGAGGAAAACTTGGAGACTGGTTAAGCAGCCCCCCATAAACTATCCCAGAAATCAGACTACCAAAAGTTCTTGACCAGTATACTCTGCACTACAATATTCTCTTGGGGAATGTTTACTAACAGATTAAAAGCAATAGCTAGGAGCTCCCACTGGTCAAATCTTGGTAATTTGAGTACAAAAATTATTAAGGACAGTAAGGAACCATTGCAACAATAGGAAACTATAAGTCAACAATGACACCAAGTTGACAAATAACAAGGGGAAAGGGAGGGCCCCTGCTTACAATAGAATATCATAAAATTTTATGGTTGTCAAGCTCAGACTATGGACTTTCTAAAGCTCAAGCCAAATAAGCTAAGAGGTAGTGGAGGAGTTGGAGGAGGAATACTGATGGAAGGTAGGTCTAGGTGGCAAAACCTCTGTACTACTGTTCAAATGCACAACTCTTTGAAGGGTTACCCACATTTTAAAAGAATGGTCTTGCAAGAAAGCTGTCCTTTCAGTAAAAGATTTATCTCTTGAAGTGGGGGCATTTCAGACAGGAGAGGACACTGCTTCACCTCAATGCTTAAACAGGAGCCCTAGTTGCTTGGTATTTTTGAGGGTCTTAGAGGCCCAGTCCTCTATCTAGAAGCAGTTGGGGTTCTCACCTGCTCAGTACCCCAGGAGCAGGATCTCATCGACACAGCAAGCCCCTGCCTCCCACCTAGAGCAAAACTGTATGCAAATTTTAGTTAATTACTCCCCACTCAACTTGCACTAAAACTTCATCCACTTGTCTTCATTTCTGATTTATTTTGACCAGCCAGTCGTTTCTAACACCTTTAGTCTGATGATGCATCAACAAGCACTAAAATGCGTTAGAGGTGGGGTAAGCACACAGACCAAATCTGGTCCCACTGCCTGTATTTGTATGACCACCATGCTAAGAATGCTTTTTACATTTTTTTATAGTTGAAAAGAATAAAAATAATAATTTAGGACATGTGAAAATGAAATTCAGGTATGAATGTTAAATTTCAGTGCATGTAAATGAACGTTTTTTTAAATATATATTTTTTATTGATTTCAGAGAGGAAGGGAGAAGGAGAGGGAGAGGGAGAGGGAGAGGGAGAGAAACATCAATGATGAGAATCATTGATCGGCTGTCTCATGCACACCCCTTACTGGGGCTTGAGCCCGCAACCGGGTATGTGCCCTTGACTGGAATCAAACCTGGGACCCTTCAGTCCATAGGCAGACACTTTGCCACTGAGCCAAACCAGCCAGGGCTGTAAATGAAGTTTTACAGCCACGCTCATCCTTTTACATACATATTATCTACGACTGCTTTTGAGCCATAGTAACAGTTGAATAGTTGCAGAGACCATCTGGCCTGCAAATCCTAAAACATTTATCAGCTGGCCTTTTACAGAAAAAGTTTGCTGATCCCTGGCCTTGAGTAATAATTGTCAACATGGGGCTATTTTGTCCTGCAGGAGACACTTGGCATTGATAGGAAACATTTTTGGTTGTCACAATTGGAAGTGGGATAGGGTGCTACTGACATCTAGTGGGTAGAGATGCTGTTAAACATGCTACAATGAACAGGTCCCTACAGCAAAGAATCATCTGTCCTCAAATGTCAGTAGTGCTGAAGTTTAGAAACGGTGGATTAAAGGGACCCAAGATACTTCTAGCAAAGAGGAAACTTCATCCTTAAATAAAGGGTACCGTTTGTGGAGCACCTGGGTCTTTAATTTACATAAGCTCATGTAGCCTTCATGGTCATCCTGCAAGGGAGTTGCTGATAGTCTCCTTTTACAGGGAAGTTTTTAATACAATTTTCCCATAGTGCACACGCTAGCAAGGCTGTCTGGCTGCAGAGCCTGTATTTTTCCACACCTCAGAGCCTGCAGCTACTCAGTGACATCAGAGGCTAGTGTTGTCTTACTCGGCTGCCCTCTAGTGTGCAAACTATGCAGACACAGGCC